TCTTTAGAATGATTTTACAATGCCTTATGTTTTATTTTTAATTTATAAAATAACACGCAAAAGTCTGCGTACATTACAACCTACACTTTAACAATAATGTATATCCTTTTTAGTCTTTTTATAAACCCGTTACCAGTTTTTATACCCGTTACTCGTAGAGTAAAAGGGTATATTGTATTCGTGCAAAAGTATGTAACAGCTAGAAGGAAGCGTTTCCGACCCTATAAAGTATATATATTCTTGATCAGGGTCACTAGCCGAGTCGATATAGCCATGTCCGTCTGTCCGTCTGTCTGTCCGTATGAACGCTGTGATCTCGGAAACTATAAAAGCTAGAAGATTGGCATTTTGCATGCAGATTCTAGGAGTTCCTACGCAGCGCAAGTTTGTTTCAAAAAGGTGCCACGCCCCCTTTAACGCCCACAATCGCTTATATACGATTTTAAAAATTTAAATATTTCGGAAAAGTAAAAATGAATTTTATTGTGTTTATCAATACCTATCGAAATGTAGAAGAAATTTTTCAAATCGGACCATTCGTTAAAAAGTTATGCGTGATCAAAGTTTCTATCTCCATCTCCCTCGCACTCCCTTTACCTGAGTAACGGGTATCTGATAGTCGGGGCACCCGACTATAGCGTTCTCTCTTGTTTCATCTCCTCTGCAGTAATTTTTCCTATTCCTCTACAATTACAACCTTGAAAATTTTAAACCATTGCAGAGGCTATTATAATTTTGGTCAAAAGTGTGCAACGCAGTGAAGGAGACATCTCCGACCTAACCAGCAGAGTCGATATTGCAGGTGTATATAAGTCGGAATGAACCGGATCGGGCGACTATATCAACTAAATCCCATAGGAACAATCGGAAAAAAAAATTCAAAAAAATTATAACTTTGTTGTTTTTAATTTTTTTGTTCTTTGGGATTTGATAATATTTAAATATTATTGAATTACGGGTTTAATTAAATTTATATCATAATGCTCATATAAAAAAATCGAAAAATAAATTTTTTATTTATCTAAATATTCCTTTGAGATTAAGTAATTACTTACTGACTCAGAATTACGCTTTTAGTTTTATCAAAATCGGACAACAATATCATATAGCTACCATAGAAACGATGGAAAACTGCAGCGCAAAAACGACATGGCTTCATTGTTTTTAGTAATAAAGGCATAGAAATCGAAATGTAGTCTATTTGTAATAATTGCAAGGGTATGTAAACTTTGGCTTGCCGAAGTTCGTTCCTTTCTTCTTTTGATAAGAGGTTTGGCAATGTCTTTTCTATTTTTGGTAAAGCTTTTCTCAAAAAAATAGTTTTGGACCAAAACACAATTTACGAGACTCCACCTTTAAAAAATGTCCTATTTTTAAATCGAACAAGAAAGGGAATTAAATTGGGCATCACAATAAAAAATAAAAAAATTCTTTCATGTTTTTTTTTTCTTGAAGAGAGTATTGTAAGGCTGTTTCTCGGCCGGGGTACAGATCTCAGTCGGATCCAAGAGTCTTTTACAAGAAATTTGTAAATCACCGAAACACCGGACTAGAGAGTTCCGTTCTACAGGTGAACGGTGCCGGATAGTAAGGGGACAGAGGGATTCGACTCGATTGACCGGCCGGGACGGGTGTCAACGTGCCAGTCTCCAAACTACTACAGAGACCCGACACTAGGTTGATAGATCGGGCGGGACGGGTGTCCACGTTCAAATCCCAAACTACGTAGGAAAACTAAGGCGACGGATACGGCGGGACGGGTGTCCACGCGGAAATCCCAAAACTACGTAAGGGAGTGGAGACACTACCGGAGAACGGATCCGACGGGACGGGTGTCCACGCGCAAATCCCAAACTACGTAAGGGAGTGGGGAAACTACCGGAGAACGGATCTGGCGGGACGGGTGTCCACGCGCAAATCCCAAACTACGAAAGGGAGTGGGGAAACTAGCGAAGAACGGATCCGGCGGGACGGGTGTCCACGCTGGGGGAACTACTGGACAGAACGGGAAGGGGTCCGCATTCAGGTCCGATGGTACTACTAGAAGCAAAACTACGGCTACTGTGGCGAACGGGAAGTATGTCCACGTTCGGGCCCAAAGAAGCTGTGAGAATGAGGTTAGGTTTCTTTTCTAACTACAAAATGAAACACGATCGGGAGATGTGATTAAACAATCGTAACACTTTATTGAGATGTCCTCACCCGAGTTCGCTGCACCGTTCTGAGCGTATGAGAACCTATTTGTACTAACCTCTTTAATGTCACCCGCGATCGGCAGCGTAACACTTGGCCAAATTAAACCGGCGGAACACTCGCGATGAGAAAGCTATGAAAGGTCGCGTTAGGCGTCACGATTGGCCTGTCTTGCGAATAAGCTTGCGGAGCACACGTGGGGTCTCGAAGTTTCGCTGAGCCGTGTGCCGATCACACGTCTTCCTGGTTCCGCGATGCCAAGAGAAGTCACGCTGTCCGGTTGTTGTATGATCGCCTACCCTTTTCCTCCTTTTTCCCGCATTCGGGAATTCTAGTATTTTTCCACTACTGATATCTCAGCTCCTTGCTTTTCTAGTATTAAATGTGTCTTGGCAAAATATCGGATGGCGTTGCCACCCCGGGATTTGAACTTAGCTATAACTTCTTTAATCTCACTATGTCTTAATATTTATTAAACTTCATGATATTTCTCTTACAACTATTATAAAGAAAAGAAAAACCATTGTGGCGTACTCGCCTCCTAGGCGGGATCGTCCGATCCGGCTCGATCTGACTTATATATATTATTCGCAATAGAAATGCAACTTTTGGGAAAGTTTCAAGCAGTAGTCAGTCAGTCCGTTTTTTACGCAAACTAGTTCCTGAGTTTTAAAGCTATCTGAGTGGCGACTTTATCATATAGCTCCATTAGGAACAATCGGAATAAATTTTAGAGAGTATAACTTTGTTGTTTTTTAATTTTTTGTTTGTTCTTTAAACTTTGGTAATATTTAAATTTTATGGAATTATAGTTTTAATAAAATTTAAATCGTACATTTATAATATATAGCTCCCATAGAAAAAAAAATGAAAAATATATATTTTTACTTTAAGATTTGTCAAAATCGGACAACAATCACTTCACTGTTTTTAGTAATTTTTTTTTTTTTTCGCGCGAAGTCCCACGGCCTACTTACCCGCCCAACCGACCGAGAGGCGCAGCCTCTACAATGATTTAATATTAGGGGAATATAATTTCTAATTAATGTGTATTATAAGGTTATAAATGAAGACAGTACCAAGCATCGTTCTACGGTTGGCTAGGGAGGGTAAGTTAATCAACAGAAGTCTACTAGAATAAGAAGGTAAGTTAAGATTTGCATCCCAGTTTAGGCGCCGTAAAGCAAAAAGAAGAAAGTTTTTTTGTACCGATTCAATACGACCAATATGTATTTCGTATTGCGGACTCCAGACGGGAGACCCATACTCCAGAATCGGACGGACAAACGAAATAAATAAAGTTTTAGTTAAATAAGGATCATCGAATTGTTTTGACCACCTTTTAATAAATCGAAGCACTCCTCTGGCTTTATTAACCATGGACGAAATGTGGTTTGAAAATTTTAGTTTAGGGTCCAAGATCGCCAAGATCTACAAGATTTACAAGAGTTATTCTATCCAAAGAGCTGCCACTTAATGTGTAAGTCGCGTATATCGGATTGACCCGATAAAAAGTCATCAGCTTGCACTTGGATGCGTTTAAATTTAGTAAATTATCTCGGCACCAGTTTTGAAAATTATCTAGATCGGATTGCAAGTCTAAATGGCAGGAAATGTCCTTATACTGCAGGCACAACTTAACATCGTCTGTACGCGAGAATGACTTATAATTGAGGGAAGTTCGTTAATAAATAATGTAAAAAGTAACGGACCCAGATGGCTCCCTTGTGGCTCCGTGTTGTTACCGGAGGTAACACGGAGAATTTCAGAAATTGAATTTTAAAAAGGACCCTTTGTGACCTGCCATTCAGATATCTTGAAATCCATTTAAGCAGATCAACTGGAAAACCTAACAGGTCAAGTTTTTGAATAAGAAGTAAGTGATTTACAGAGTCAAATGCTTTACTAAAGACAGTGTAAATGACGTCTGTTTGAAAACTACTATTGAAGCCTTTTATCACAAATGTAGTGAGCTCTAGAAGGTTTGTGATTGTGGATCTACGTTTAATAAATCCGTGTTGACAAGGAGAAATGATTGATCTGCAAAGGTGCTGCAAATGAGGAGTAATAATTTTTTCAAAAAGCTTAGGAATAGCTGACAACTTAGAAATACCTCTGTAGTTACTGGCTTCTAACTTGTTACCTTTTTGAAAAGAGGAATAACAAATGATTCCCTTCAAATATTTGGGAATTGGGAGGTTTCTAGAGGTAAGGTAAACAACTTGTGAAGAGGTTTGTACAGGGCCTTAGCGCAATACCTAAGCACGCACCCAGGAATACCATCGGGCCCTGGCGAATAAACAGGCTTAATACTTTTTAAGTGTGTCAACTCTTTGCTAAACCAAGGTGATTTATTGGAAATTGACGGATAGTACCACGGAACACAGGAATTGAAAAATGAGTTTATTGCAGCGTAAAAAACATTAACTGCATCGGACATATTATTGCATAAGTAAAGATCAGACCAATTAAAGCCAGAAATAAAATTATTTAGCCTCAGAAAGTATGCCTTGCGAAAACAATGCATTCGTTTGGATTTTTCTGATATTTCTTCTATAACTCTACCCGTATCAAATGAAAGTTCGATTGTAGGGTGATTGTCGGCTTGACAAAGTTAGCTTCCTTTCCTGGTTTTGACTCTTTTTATTCTAATACAAAAATATTAACCCGTTGTCGAATTGGGGAGCAGATTTAACGATAAAGAGAATTAGTATTTTAACAGCAGCTTTACATATAAACTATATATATTATCAAAATTGATATTTATATTTATATATATTATTAATTAAATCAATTTGTTTTTACAGAATTTATTCGCAAAAAGTTACCATTTAGAATTGTCCAACGCGTCGAAAATGACAATATAAATGATTTTCTTGGAGGATGGATGGACAACAGAGTACGAGCTCTAATTTTTCAACCTCGCAGTTTGATTAGGCTGCGATACTTACTAACCGCCTTTGAATTCTACGACCGCGTCGCTTTTGGGTAAGACATCTCTCTTACTTATATACATTAATAGGTATTAAGAACTTTTTATACCCTTGCAGAGGGTATTATTATTTCAGTCAAAAGTTTGCTACGTAGTGAAGGAGACATTTCCGACCCTATAAAGTATACATATTCTTGATCAGCATCACCAGGAGAGTCGATCTAGCCATGTCCATCTCTCCGTCCGCCGTCTGTCCGTCCATCCGTCCATTTTAAAGCTATCTGCTTGAAATTTTCCTAAAAGTTGTCATTCTATTGAATGTAGTATATAAGTCGGAACTACTATATCAGATAGCTCCCATAGGAACATCGGAAAAAAATTTTAAAAAAAAATTATACCTTTGTTGTTTTTAATATTTTTTATTTGTCGTTCTTTGGGATTTGGTAATATTTAAATATTATGGAAATACGGTTTTAATTAAATTAAAATCGAGCAACAGTGTCATTTAGCTGCCATAGAAACGATGGCCAAATGCAGCGCGAAATCGACATAGCTTCATTGTTTTTAGTAAAATAGGCATATAAATCGAAATGTAGTCGTTTTTTAATAACTGGAAGGGTATATAAACTTCGGGTTGCCGAAGTTTGTTTCCTTTCTATATATTAAAAAAAAAAAAATTTTAATTCTTGGTTTTGCTTTACACTTTTATATTGACACCTGGATACTAAAAATAATTATTTTTATCAATTATTTATATTAATTTAGTTGGTCTACGATATCGCGCGCTATATGTTATGGTGGATAGTCAACGATATTGTGATTTGTATTTGAGTTGGTTTAATATAACATATGTAGTACATAACTGACTGCAGCATGGTAGACACACATACAACAATTGATTATAAAATCAGCCTACTTTATCATGTAGCTACCATAGGAAAAATAACAAAATAATAGAAAAAATTTAATTGAATTTTCAAAATATAGATTTTAATTTCACATGCAAAAATTGTTATCCGTAATCAATTTTTTTCTCAATGCAAATTCTTAAAAAATCGCAGTCAATCGAGGATATTTTTATTACAGAATTTTGTAGACTGGTTATTTCATACAACGAAAATGGACATAACAATTTTTTTGCGACAGGTCCCCGGGCTAGTAGCGGCAGGTCCCGGACACTTCTTGTGCCTTCAGGTTTTTTGCGCTCTCATTCTTATTCTCATTTCTCATTGCACGAGTTCGGTCGTCCAGTCGGACAGACGCGCATTTTGAAGAAGGTTGCGCCTGCGCTTGAATTGGTCTTTATATGTATGCGTGTTCATGCATTCTCGTTCATGCATTCTCATACGTGCATGCGTGCGTTTATTTTCATTCGATGCGGCAAGAATATTTTGGCTTTTGCTACTTTTAAGACTTGATACCCTATCAATACGGCCGTATTTATTATTGGGTTAATGATAAAAATAGGAATAATATAAGTTATGACCAGTCATGGTCAGAGGCACGCTGGATTACTCCATAAGTTGAAGTCCCTGCTCCCGACCGGCCAATTCCTCTTACTAAAATCATACTTGCTTGATCGAAGTTTTATGGTCGAGGTAAGAGGGGAAAGGTCAAACATTAGAACTGCTCGAGCTGGCGTTCCACTGGGAAGCGTCCTGGGTCCCATTATGTACACTCTGTACACTTCGGATCTGCCATGTCCTACACAACCAGGCACACTTCTGGCCACCTACGCTGACGACACTGCCTTTCTTGTGAACTCCTCCTGCCGAGTCGAGGCATCAAGGATCACTCAGGACTTCCTGGATCTGTACGGCAAGTGGACAAACAGGTGGAATATTGCTATCAATGGAAGAAAGTCGCAGCATTGCAATTTTACTCTTAGAGGAAAGGTGCTTCCTAGAGTTGAACTCCACCATATCACCATCCCGCAATCACCCCAGGCGCAGTACTTGGGTCTGATCCTGGACAAGCGGCTCACCTGGAAAGGGCACATCCAAAAAATTGCAGCCACCTGTCGCACTAAACTCAGGAAGCTGAATTGGATGCTTAAGCCTACGAGCAAGCTCAGCCTTGGCAACAAAGTGTTGCTCTATAAATCAATTGTGGTGCCCTCAATGACCTACTGCATCCAATTATGGGGCATGGCTTCAGACTCTAATGTGGCTAAAGTTCAAAGAGTCCAAAACCGGGCGCTGCGCAAAATTGCAAATGCGCCCTGGTACATCAGAAACGACGCCCTTGCAAATGACCTCCACATTCCTTCTGTCAGGGAACAGATAAACCGCCACTCGAGTCGGTACAACGATCGACTCGCTGTCCACACCAACCACCTAGCAGCTTCCCTGGCCAACCCGACGTGTAGAAGAAGACTGAAGCGAAGACACCCCGCCGATCTCTGGACAAGAGGATGACTCAAGTCCTTAAGCATTAACCATTTACTGTTAATTTGTTATAAAATTTGTTAATCTGTTATGTTTTCACGTTATTTGTTCTTTATTATTCCCAACGTATTATAGCCATTTAGTTGGTTGATCGACGTTAATTAAATCTATATGTTAAACTAAAAAAAAAAAAAAAAAAAAGTTCAGATCGGGGGTACAAACCGAATTAATTCTAACAATCTTATTTTGGTTGCTTGTTGGCTTGGGCAGCGCCGCGACGTCAGCGTACCGCTGGCAGAGCGGTTGCGGAAATATCCAAGCCGACACCAATGGTTTTAGGTGTCTGATCTAATGTGTTTCTACACTCCAGATGCTAACGCTGCACTTATGCCTGGGCTCGGCGAAGGGTAGGGGTAGCGGCGGCTATAGCTGAGGCAGCTAGCCGACGGTCGGTGTTCTTCCGTTATTGCGCTGCTGCCGATGCAATTCGATCGCTGACGTTGTTGACATTCGGTCGCTGGTTCGCTGTTGCTGTTGCTGGTCCCATATCTCAGCGGCTTTATTACAGCCACTTGGAATTATAGCCACTTGAATATTGTTGCCGTTGATGGCTGAGTGGGATGAAGGGAATGGGTTCCAGTTCGTAGGTGGCCGAGAGGGGTGAATAGAATGGTGCGGTGTTCGGTGTCGTAGGGTTCAAGAGGAGTAAAGGGAAGGGGGCAGTTGGCTGGTGTTAACTCCTCCCCACCACAAGATCTGTGTCCCACAGATCATTTAGGCCTTGATTGCAGGTTCTCAGGCGGGTCCCGCAGCTTAGGAATTCCTTTGGTCGACGTTACTTTTTTCCAAACGAGGTGTACTGCTGTCATGATGGAGAGAGCTATGACTATTTCTACTGAGAAAGATATCAAAATCTCATTGGACATGACTGACAATCTTTTCAGGTTTTCCATGCTGAATTCGTGGACGTACTGCAACGAAAGCTCGTAACCCGTGGTTTTTATTTGGGTTAGTACGGCTGGCATTGCCATCAGGTGTGTTGACGAGTAGCTGCTGTAGTTCCGGTCACCAACCCTTCCGGTACGAACCCTCCAAGTGATGTTTCTTGATGGGAGTGGATACCGTTCCGTTGAAATTTGTTAGAAAGCTTGTCCCGTCGTCGATGAGTTCCACTGTTTCCTGGTTGGTCCTCAGATAATCACATTCGAATTGGCCTTCTTTTAGAAATCTCGTTATGCAACTATCCTCATCCAATTTGAATAGGTCTTTTTCTCGGCACACGGTTGTGTTACCGATCGATATGCAATTTCCGAGTAGCGCATATGTTTCCAGGCTGTCCATTGCCAGTGTGGTGTACTTTAGTACAACTTGTTTGCCATCCGATGTCGTCGGGTAAATCTTCATCAATCGATATTTCCTGTCCACCACTTTGGGCATCGCCAGGATATACAGGAGAGTAGTCCCGTTTGGGAGGATTGTAGGTCGGGAAAACTCAACTGCTTCCACGACGTTTTGATAAGGGAGGCTGTCCACCTCTGCCAGAATCGTGTCGACTTCCTCGTGGTCCAAGAGGTTTGTGTTGACCACTCCAGTCTTTCCTAGTTGGCAGGCTCTCAGTATCTTGTTGACTTGGTCCGCTATTATGATTGCCTTGTGAAGAATGGCTGTCGTCACGTGGAAATTCCCTTCTATTGCGTTGACTTTCCCTATCACGTCATTCAGCTTCTGGATTGATTCTTGTGCTGAATCAAACAGCTTATCGTTGATCCGGATTTGTTGGTTGTTGTTCCTTGCCAGGCTGTCTTCTTCTTTCAAAATGGCATTCCAATCTGATTTGTCCGGTGATCCCGCGACCCATTTCCAAGCTGATCCTAGCCAGTCGATCGAGCGTTGCCTTCGTGACAGTGCGCTATTCATGCGCGAGACCTCTTCTGAAGCTTGCTGCAGGTAATGGTCAAGCAAAGCGCGGATCCGTTGGTCCGTGATTAACTTCGCTTCGTCTGCTATCTGGTCGATGAGCTGCTGCATGCGCCCTAGATTTATGATGTGAGCCAGTTTGAAGACGCCATTGGTTCTCCAGACGGTGCCTTGTTGTAAGGGGACGACCGGTGAATCATATTTGAAAATATGAAGGGTTGCCGCCACATAGATTGCGGACGCGCTTATAGTGTCAGCAGAAGGTTATATGTAAATGTAGATTCTTATAATTATTCTTCCTTAGTCTAGGTGTCTGTATTCGTGTTTTCTTGTGTTTTATCATAACCCTTTATCCTTTAGTATAGTTTTTCATCTTAATCTAGGTGTTGCTTAACTATATACCGTGTCACCCTGTTCGTAAGAAATTAGGTCGCTTCAATTTTTATTGCGCCCATTTTTGGTTAGCGTTTGTTTATGTTCTATGAGACCTCGAATATTTTCAAAAGTTTGCTGTTTGAAATTGGACAAACCCCGGTAATTTATTCTGGAGGTACGATTGAAAAAAATATCCACTGGTTTTTTATTCGTCACCGAGTGGACAGAGTTATTGTACCTGTCTGTGACAATAGGTATAAGTTCTGTGGGTTTAAAAGTCTGATATTCGCCTTTCAAGCATCGATATATTTCCATGAAGGTAGAATGAAATCTTTCTACCTGGCCGTTTACCTCGCTTTTTTGAGTAGGAGTATGGT